CTCTGCAGGAAGCCTGCTTCTCCCTCTCCCACTCCCCCTGCTTGTGTTCCCTCTCTCGCTGTGTCTCTGTCAAATAAATAAAATCTTTTTTAAAAATTAAAAAAAAAAAAAAGGTTTCTGGTGCATGGTGGCAGTACTGGGAGAGGAAGGAAACAGGCTTGATTTCCTGAATCCTGTTGCTTGTGAACTCTCAATAACCATGATTCTCCAACTTTAGCATGGAATCATGTGGAGGGTCTGATTTTTAAGTCTGGGATGGGGCCCAAGAATACGTTTGTGAGGCGTTCCCAAGCCATCCTTAGGCTGCTGGTCCAAGCACTACACTTTGAGAACTGCTAGCATACGGCTACCTACATGATGGTTCGCAAACTTAGCTCCATGTGGGAAGCACCTGTAGAGCTTTAAAAAAAATAAGCCAAGCTTCCCGTCAGATTCTGATTTACTCGACATAAGGGTGCCTCAGGTGATTTCAATTTGCAGGAAAGGTTGAGAACCCAGGTCCACACTTTAGTAGTCCTGTCAACTCTACAGGCTTCATTCTTAGCTCCCCTGCTGGGAATTAAGAATCAGCTCTGGCTGTTTCCATTTCCCACCTTGACAGTGCTGGATCTTTGCTTTCCCTGCAGAGTCACCATCAAGTATGCACTCAGTGTGCTGATGCTGGGATCAGGTGGTTCGTTTTTATTTATTTATTTATTTATTTATTTATTTATTTATTTATTTATTTATTTATTTAAGACTTTATTTATTTGACAGAGAGAGACAGTGAGAGAAGGAGAAGCAGGCTCCTGGCTGTGCAGGGAGCCTGATGCAGGGCTTGATCCCAGGACCCTGGGATCATGACCTGAGCCGAAGGCAGACATTTAACGACTGAGCCACCCAGGCACCCCAGGTGCTTCGTTTTTAGACTGAGCTTCTCTTGGGGTCCAATGCTGTGTGAGCATTATTTCATTCTTCATTAGCTACTTGTCCTCCCTATGGAGAATCAAGCCTGTTGCTAGACCCAGGGCATAAAGAGTTGGACAGATCCAAGCGTTGAAACAATGATTCTAAAACATTCCTGGGTCTTCTCTGGGTCTCAGTGCCCACCTAAGAAGCTCGTACCCTAAAACCACAGAATAAAACTGCACAGATACACTTATTCAACTTAGGGTGTTCACAGACTCTCTTGAACCCCATGAAAGGGGGGCTTGAACCTCGGCTTGGGAGAGAAATTGAGGGCTTGGGAGAGAAATTAAGGCGGGCTTGACAGTTGACAGCTACGAGCTCTATTGCAAACAGGTGCTGCTTGTTGCACCTCCTGTGCCCCACACCCAATTTAAAAAGTTTTCTAGTCACATTTTTAAAATATTTTATTTATTTATTTGAGAGAGAGCACAAGCAGGGGGAGCAGCAGAGGGAGAGAAGCAGGCTCTCCGCTGAGCAGGGAGCCCGACGTGGGGCTCCATCCCAGGACCCTGGGATCATGACCTGAGCCAAAGGCAGACACTTAACAGACTGACCCACCCAGGCGCCCCAAAAGTCACGTTTAAAGTTCAGTAGATTTATTTTTTTTAAAGATTTTATTTGAGAGAGAGAGTGTGTGCAGGGGGAGGGCAGGGGGAGATACAGACTCCCATGCCTAGTGGGAAGACAGACATGGGGCTCGATCCCCAGACCGCAGATCATAACCTGAACCTAAGACGCTTAACGGTCTGAACCCCCCGGGGTCCCCTAGATTTCTCTTTTAAAGGCTGGGTTCCCCCCCCACCCCCGTGCTTTTGGAAATCAGAAGCTCTGGCACCACTGAGTTCACTCATTTGTAGTACTGCTGATATGGAGGAACACTTACCTGCCCGTTGAAACAAGGCATTTTAAAGCACACCCCATTTCTCTCAATATCTGTCTGGGGTCTATAAGGCATGTGAAGTTTGCGATAGCTGGACAGATTATAAATGGCCTTGTATGCCCTGCTAAGAAGCTTGTACCCTTCACCACCACCGCCTTTTTTTAGTAGCTATTGTTTACGTCCCCAGGGCAGGAACAACCTCTTATCACCTCTGTCTAGCCCGCGCCCGGCTCCAGGCGTGCAGTTGGCACCAATAAATGTTGACGAGGTCTGGAAAAAGGAAGGGCTTGAGCTCATTTGTCCGAACGCCGCAGTTCGCTCCCGCGCCGCCAGGGGGCACCAAGACCCGGGCCGGGCCGGGGGAGACCAGCAGCCCCAGAACAGGGCGCTAAGGGGTACATTCTGTATTCTGGCCCGCGCCTCCTGCAGCTTTCTCAGGCCTTCCTCCGCCAGGCGCGCTCCAGCCGCAGCCCAGACGAAGGGACCCAGAGGAAAACAGCCTGAACTGCCCAGAAAGAAGGGGCTTTACTGGGGAGTGAGGGTAGCCGAGGCGGAAACCCTGGCCCTCTAATCGCAAAGGCCAGAGGGAGAGGCCAGTTGGGTTTGCAGTTAGGCGGAGGAGGGCTGAACAGTTTCACTGGCGGTTTGAGAGTCGTAGTGTTTCCCAGCCGGGACTAACAGTTTTATAGAAGAGACTGGTCAATTTCACAGTCAGGTTCAAGGAGGAGCTGGTCGATTTCATCTTCCCCAGCGCAGACGGCTGGCCCTCTTCCAGGCCTGCAGTGGATTCCGAGAGCACTCCTGGGCACCCCTACCAGTTTCCTCTGATATGCATGTTACCTCTGGCAGGGGGTCCCAGCCTGCTGGAACCTCAAGGCTTCCGCTCCTCCTGGAGAGAGGAGGCCAGACGGAAGGCTGACTTTAAGCACCCGCGCACCGCAGGAGGGACACCCAGGCACAGGGTGGGGCGGTTTGGGCCCCGGGACTACCGCATCCTAGTCACCCCTGAGCCTTGCCCAGAACTTTGTGCCCTAGCCCAGAGTGACTTCCCAGGGGGCGCGGAGGTGCACGTTCCCTGGCCCAGCACCCTGGCGCCCGAGGAGGAGGGGGGAGGGACGAGCGACTAGCGCTTGAGGCAAGAGGGGGAAAGGGGCTCCCACCTGCTGCAAGCCGCTCTCAGACGCCTTTCTGCGGGGAGGCCAGGTCACCGCCAGCTTTCCGTCGCCCCTGGTCGCTGCGGGGGAAGGGGTGCTCAGCCGGGGTTGCCCCTCCTGTCACCAGCTGGGGGCGGCCAGGACCAGGGAGGCCGGCCGCGCCCCTTAAACACACAGGCGTTTACCCTGCTTCCCATGGAAGCCTCCATTCTGAAGGAGAGAGCAACCTGAAGGAGGAGGGAGGCGAACCCAGAGTGGGGAGGTGGAAACTCGTAATTCAGAGGGAGGCTCCAGGAGTGCCAGAACCCAAGCAGGGTTCCCTGGAACCCGATAAAGACACCTAGAATCCTCCTCCCTTTCTCACCAAGAGCCTAGGTGAGGTGGATTCGGGAGTCGACCATTCCGAGTACGGGGTGGAGCACAGGGAGTGGGCAGCCCCGAAGCGTGGGCAGGGTACGGAGAGTTGGGGGGGCTGTCCCAGGAGTCTGGGAGCCCTGAGGGGGTACCTGAGGGCCAGAAGAGAGGGCACTGGAGTTGGGCAGTCGGTGAGGGCGGCTGGAGCCCTGACAGACCCCAGCGTCAGGGCGCGCGTGGCTTACCCGTGAGGCTCGGCGCGGGCTCCTTGAACTCGGCGGTGCCGTAGACGCTGAGCCGCTGGCGCTGCAGCTCCCGCTCGCGCTCACGCACCTCGCTCACCTCCTGCTCCAGCAGCGACCGCGCG